TACCTCCGATCATTTTTGCACAGTTATGGAAGTTCGAAAGTGCGCTGGGCTAATTTTTGTGCGCTTTGAAAATTTTATTCATAATGCTGAAAGCGTAGCACAAATTGTTGATGCATGGTGAATTATCCTGCAGATCAAAATCACTCCAAACTGAATTGAGGCTAGCTAATCGGTCGAATTAATTTCGTACGACTCAAACTTTCACAGTTGATCTTTGATTGATACAAAATTTATAATTTTTTCAATATTTTCTTCTCCCAAAAATTATTCGATATAGATTAAGGGGCAGTCGTAACTCTCAGGCCTTTGCACTGTTAATGAGCAGTCTTTTTACGATGCGCAGTAGTTGTTTGCTTATTTCTACAACAAACAATGTCGTTTTTAGAAAAACTATAATTGGTTACTTACAAAAAAAACAATCAAAGACTTTACTTGAAAAGTGTTCAGCAAAAAACCAAAGCTGCAAATCAATTCTTTCCTTCTCTAAAATCAGCAATAATTTGGTATAGGTTTTAAAAGAGTTTGGATACGAGGAACAAATGTGTTTGGAATAGCCTATGTAGTCCGCATGCCAAATGCAAATGAAACTTAGGTGAGAAAATATTTATTTTGCATGGTGAGGCAGAGATTAGGACCTCCTGTACCCAGGGGATTTTATGTGCAAGATCTGAACTTTTTTCTTTCTGACATAAGTTGATTCTCAGATCTGAAATTCTCTATTTCAGACCTTGTAAAACTATAGAAATTTCAGATCTGAAATTTGGATTTGAAAAAGAAATTTTCAGATCTGAAATAACCTTGAAAAACAAAATTTCAAAACTGAAATCAGATCTGAGAAATTTTTTGTCAAAATATAATATATGCATTTCGAGCAAAATTTTAGTTTTTTTGATGTTTCTGCAACACACAATTATGTTTATGTTAACTAGCGGTCAGAAAAACTTCCGAATATTTTCACAAACAGTTTTTTTTCGAACTAAATTTCTTGTTAAACAGTGTTAAAAACTTTTCAAAAACTGTTAGAAGACCTGTAACTTGCTGAATACCTTCTAGTAGCCAGCAAAAGCTATCAAACACAAAAACAAATCAAAACTAGCAAATATTGTGTCAGAATAACTGATTTTTCAGATCTGAAATAACCAAGAAAAACAAAATTTCAGATCGGAAATTAGATCTGAAATAACCAATCTTTAAAGTATCCAAGCATTGTTTAAACATTTCGCAACCTACTTCAGATTTGAAATTTAGATCTGAACAAGATAATTCAGATCTGTTTTAGAAAATTTACTGGGTACGGGTACTATTTCACTTCCTTGCCTTCTACAACATTGTTGGTATTTTTGTTGCGAGTTGATTTCTCGTAATATTCAATTTTAGTTCGTAAAAAATGTGACCTATGCATCCCAGTTTGACCGCTGTGTTAGGTTCCGCTGCTTCCATACAATGTGGACACATGAAGCCACCAGTGACGTCATCACATTGCATGAACAGATTTTGAAAGAAGGAAAAGCCATGAGAAAGACCAGTCGGTTGAATGGCTGCAACAGATAAATGATAAGTGAAAAAATAAGTGATCACATTTGGTTTCAAGAAGTTTCGACAATTCCTACCCTTTTTCCCTCTAGTTGACCTTGCTGCTAAACTTTACTTGTCTACTCTAGATCAAAGAGCAGTGGGACAGTGATTTTGTTGTCTAATACACATATTCAATCAAAAATGTTTTCTTACTAAAAATTAATTGGAATGATTCAATTTTACATCGACAATTTGCGAACGTTTATTTAGACAACCTGAAGACGACAGAGTTTCCCGAAAGTCCTAGTTTATCCTAGAGCCAGCCCCTAGATAAACTACATAGATGGATTGTTAAAAGGCAAAAAAAAAACAAAAAAAAACAACGGCGTTTTTGGGCAACTTTTTTTGGAAATTTTAACCAATTGCCGAAGGCGTGTTCAGAAACAAAATTGGATGTCATAGTAGAATTATATTAAAGGGGGGACCCTTTGGAAAAATTAGACAACCAGAGATGAATGGGGTCAGACCCTTCGTCCCCTCCCTCGGCACGCTACTGGACAGCCTTAGTTTGTCACCTTAAATCAGAACATTGCAAAAATTTTAGACAACTCATTATCCTCTGATGTTCGTAATACCTTATGAAAATGTTCACGTGGTTTTCAAAAACTACTATTTTTCCAGCACCTAGTGATTAAGGCTCTCTACACTTTTTTGGTGGACTATCCAGCCCACAAAAAAAAGAACAATACAACTCCAAAATAACACCAGCAGACAGCTCCATCAAATCAAATCCCTCAAAGCATCAAATAAGTGGAAAGGACAATCTAAACCGCTTTCATCAAGCTAATCATTCAATTTGTTGTGGAGACTGTCATCCGGCCGGATTGGCATGATCGTTTGATGTATATATTTATATAATTAATTATTTATATATCTATGTTAATTTTTTGCAGGTCTAATGACTTTGAACAACACGGCCATACCGTAACCGTACAGTATAAAACGCTCAGAACAAAGAATGACAGATTATCATTCAGTTACTTTTTTATTCTCTTCTGAGCTACTGAGTTTGTTTGCCAACCTGTACGAATTTTATATTTATTGATACGTAGCGTTATGACATGGCGCAGCCAGCAGGATACAAAAATCCGCTGAGTATCCCACCAGTTTGGTAAAAGACATCAACAGAGCCACCACTCGAATGATCCAAATGGGCAGCGATGAAGGAAATGGCTGTCCTTGCCAAAGACGGGATAGAAGAGCGAAGCCTGCTCCGAACTTAAACTCCAGTCATCGATCCAACAAAACCGATATACGAACTCAAAATAACAGGTAAAACAGAAGCAGAAAAACAAAAACGGGATATGCGCAATCAAAACGAAAAGGTTACTTGGGAAAACAAAACAACAAAAGTCAGAGAGAAAAGAGCACTATCTAACAATTTCCCATAGGATGAGGCAGAATCCAAAGTGAGGAGCTATATATTACTTTGATTGGAGCTGAAGACCAGCATCGTCTACAACAAAAACGCCCGGGACTTGATATGCAATCAACAACTACGAACGAGACATGTTCATGGTCCATATGACGAACGAAAAGATTAGAACAAACAAGCTCACCACAAGACGCATAGGAGTGTGCGATTCGAAGCGAAAAAGGAATAGAGCATAGCAAAACATGAAAACAAATCCATTCGGATCATCAACAGTATCGCCTACAATCAAACACGAAGATGCAACAGGAAACTTGGCAGGCTATAACGGAAAATACATCATCCCGAAAGGATGTCTAATCAACGCGCTAGAATCAAGAGGTTCGGGCGGTATGCTCCAACATCCTGATTCTACCGCGTTGATTAGACATCCTTTCGGGATGATGTATTTTCCGTTATAGCCTGATTTCAATTTCAAACGATTTTGTCGTGCGAGAAAAAATATGCACTTTTAGACATTTTTATGGCAGATTACTATTATGGTGTGCAAACTGGGCTGGCTCCATGCAGAGCGACCGATCCTCCGAAGGAACAGCATTTTGTAAATGTGGTCTGAATAAAAAAAATTCACCCCGAGGATATAAATTCCTCACGTTCTTCAAAATTCGGAACAATTTTTTCTCTTCCCTCCATTTTACGTTCCATATTCTTATGTTTAAAACAGCTTTTGTTTTAAAAGTCAAAACAAAATGACAAATTTTTGTACAGGGCCATAGATATTTCCGATAACAGTTAGGAGTTTGAAGGCTCATGATTTTTTCAAATTATGAGCGTAAGTCCCGGGTCGAGGTCTGAGACATAATTCCTGAATTCAAGGACAAAATTTCGGCCTTTTCAGATTTTTGCAATCAATAACACTCGTAGCGACTTTCCAGACCAAAAGGGAACTGGCGCGACCCAGGAAACAATGCAACCGACTTGACTGCCCAGATCGATTTGCCAGATATATGTCCAGACTTTCTAAGTCACGCCGTATCCCGTTCCACTTCCAAATTGAATATTCGCGCCGAGAGTTTGAATCTGGAACGTCTGGACATGAGTCTCGCCATGGTTTGTGAAAGTCTGAACATTTCAAAATTCTGCGAAACTTTCGTGTAACATACCATAAACGCGTAATTTTTTGTTCTTAGAACAAACCTCATTACAAGGCCGAACTGTGCACTGGATAAGCGCATAATTTTGTGTCTGTAGGTTCCTGGATTCCAGAGACAAGTCTTTAAACTTGTTAAAATTTTGTCGGAATGATCACAGAAAATGAAAGAACAAAATAAGTACAAAGGGAGCGTCTTTGTAGCGGAATCTGCTTATATTTCTTAAAAAGCACAGTTTGGCCTCGTAATGATATTCACAGTTGTTAGTTTGTTCAACATGCCAAGTTTCATTCATTATGACAACCTTAATATATAATTTTTCAAAATTGACTTCAAAGTTTGGTGTTGGGGGTTGGAAAAAGCTCAAAAACTGCCCACTTTGCCAGATATGTTTCAACCGTGCGACCGATTTCAACCATGCTACCGTGAGACCGACTGTTTCAACTGCTCAACCGTGCGACCGTGCGACCGAAATGTTCAACCGTGCGACCGACTTCGGGTCTAAATTTCTCGATCTGAGAAAGTTTGCTCGTTGACAAAATTTAGATTTGTCTTTACCGTGTGGACATTTTTGAACAACAAACTTTTAAACCAAATTATTCAATAGATCCAGCTCAGAAATCTTTTTAACCAGCTTGGACTAAAATTGGAATGTGTCATGCAGTTAAATTGTTACCGAACTAATTCAGATAAATATCAAGAACAAATCTGTTTCCGCGAGGCGAATTACACAACAATGGCCTTGACCTTGAAATTTTCCCCCTAAATTTTCTGGGGAAAACAAAATATTTTGACATTGTAAATTTTAGTTTCTAGATTGCAATAATCGAATATCGAGAAAACTTGACAACCATCAATTTACATTAAAATGACTTTTCTTTCTTTTTTTTTTGTAAATAAAATTAGCATTTGTGTATGTCTGCAGTTGTGTTGATGAGCAGTTCGGTTCTCTTGAAACTGGAGAATCTGATTCTGGGCTCCTTCAACTTCACCCACAGCAGTTCAACCACAGCGGCTGAGATGGAGAGGACGAAACCCAGAATGAGGACCAGAAACACCCCTGCCATGTTACGCAGCTCCAGTCCAGTTGTCTCCCCTGCAGCAGAAGTTGCAGAATTGTTGTTACCCAGAATCAAAGACCAAGTTAAGATATATCTTCCAACCCAGTAGTGAGTTCGCATTAAACTTGCCTAGCGCTGCATGTAAAATGCTCTTTTCTGATTGGCTGAAAATTCCCAACCTAAAACCAAGTTAACATATCCCCCCCCCAAACGGCTTTGGGGGGATGCTAACTTGGTCCGGTACACCGGTACCAATACCAAAAAAAAATATGCACAAAAACGTTGTTAAACGCTCATTTTTGATTTCTCTAAGAACGAAAATAGCCGTGTTTCTAAATTATTTATAACCACTGAATATAAAATATTAGACGAAAGTTATATAAATTGTGTTGAAATTTCATGATTTTCTTACATATGGTTGTGAAATCATTACTATTTAATTGCGCCGGACTTTCTGACACATGGTCTGGCATCAAAACATGAACATTTCATTCAGAAGAGAATAATTCTCGTATTATCACTCTCACATTTGGGAGAAATAAAAACTGATCCAAGAATTGTTTTGAGACCCCCCCTAGCATCCTTGGGCTATTTTTCTTTTTCCCTCACCTGCAATTCCGACAAGTACAAAAATGGTCTTGATAATTAACCTTGTAAAACCACTCGTCACACCATAAAATTGACTCTCGTGTGAGGTGGGGGAGGGGAAGCAAAAGAGCCGAACCTTGGTTCTGTTTCTGCTGTTCGTCGGGACAGAGAGATTCGGCTTCGAACCACTTCTGTCTCAGTTTCTCCAGCTTCCCACTCTCCTGTAGACGCAGGATGGCCAGAGAGATCGGTCTCCCAATTTCGGAACCTGACTCAGATGTTTGGTTGCAATAGAACTGTTTTGAGTTTTGGTTTGATCAACTTATGTCTTATAATTTGGATTGAAGACAAGAAACATCAACTTTTCAGCTGTTGCAAGGTCAGGTTTTGTGACCTCAAGTAGAATTTTCGGATCTACTTAAAAAAATCCCTCCCTTTTCAGAAAGGGGGGAGATTGTTAAGTAAATTAAATAATCGTATTTTGGACCAATCAGAATGCAGCAAAATTATAATTCTCAATAGAAAGCTCAGTGCTAATTTACTGTATTTATTCATAGGGGGAGGGGGGAGAGATTCTTAAGTAGATACCATATGGGGGGACAAAATATTCTTGTTAAGTAGATCCGAAATTTCATTTGGAATATTGGTAGAGTTTTAGAAAAAAAGTCTTAAACAGTTACGCTATTTTCTCGATTAGATTTTCAGCGTCAGTTAAAACTTTTATAATTCCACGATTCAGAATTTAATTTAGTTGTTTTTATTTCTTGTTCTAAGAGACGGCAAAACCAGTTCCTTTGGGGACTGCAAATGCGTAATTCTTTTTGTTGAACGGCTTCCCAACTGTAATCAGGTTGCACCTGTGAACAACACAATTTTTGGTCACTTCTCCTAGAAAGTTGCGGATAATCAGAAATAATTTTGAGAGCAAATCTTTCTGTTTTCCAAGCAATTTTGATATATCAGGAAACGTATACTAGGATTACGAATCCCGATAAAGAAATCTCTGAAAATTTAGCGTACAATGAAAAGCAATGAAAATCTTTTTTTTCTGGCATGAATTACTTCGCTTCCACAAACCTTTTATGAAATTTTAAGTAGAGCATAGAATTCCATGCATTGTTCCGACCATTGAAAATGGGGAGGAACTTAGTATTCGGGTGTTTAGTTTTTTTGCTTTTAGTTTTCCACGCAAAATCAGGTGCCACAAATAATCATCGGATTGGATTGTGTGATATATCATATTAAAGCCTTTTCAGTCGTGACTCGAACCACATTAAAAAATATCCAAAAAGTTTTCCCAGTGTTGAGAAAAACCGGTTTGAATTTTTTGATTTTTTTTTAATTCGAGCGAACTAAGCAAGCGAACAGGCTTACAACAGCTGAATTAGGAGAAAATTAAAATTCATGACCTAAAACTTAACTTTAAGCAAGTAAAATTAATTGTTGGAGTTTTCAAGCTCTATTCTGGGAAACAAAAGTTTCGAAAAAAATGGAAAGTTTTTTGCAAAAAAAATGAAAAAAAAAATTAAAATCTTTTGAACTTTTTTTATTTTTGTTTTTCTAGTCAGTTTTTTGAAAAATGCTTGTCTTTTTGCCAGTATTACTATGAATGTCAAATATGCATAAAATATAGTTTTACATCAGATTTTTTTATCAACCCACGCAGAAAAACTAATTAGAAAAAATTGCTTTATCTTGTTTTTTTAAAGACTATGGTGGGAACATTCTGTGCTACTTGCACAGTAACCGGCTATCCGTGTTTTGAATTTGATTTCTGTTAGCTTAAATCTGGTTTGGCGGACCCTAAAATTCAATAAATGCGATATATGTTAATTTATTAAAATGCCTTTTTTGGCCTTTTTTTGAAAATTTATCTGCGGCTCAATTTTTTTGGCCAATATAGAGTCTAAATGGTGAATTGGGAGAGCTCGTTCAAACAATTTAATCGTTAAAAAAGGTCAAAACAAGTTAGTTTTTATTTTAACAAAATATCCCTTTAAGAAAATCCTAGATCCGCCAGTGATGAAACTTTATATGACAAGCCTTACAAAGTATATGATTAGCATTAGTTTCCCATTCAGTACCAGTCTTTTTGCCAATGTTACAATTTTTCAGAGAGAAATGTTAAAGTAACTGATGGTTTTTCGCCTCGAACCAAAGTTTTGAGCCCGGATTTTTGTTTCAATATGAACAATTAGCCTTTGTCATTGATTATTGCATTCTATAAATTTTATCAGCCTATTTTTTCAAAGTGTTACAATAAGCAGTTTTTGTTAAATAATCAGCACGTTTACGAAAAACCCTTCAAAAACAAAACACCCGCTTTTGCGTTAAAAATCCGCTATACGCCACAAATCTTTCCCACTCTTAGAGAGTGATCGGAGTTTTAATGACAACCTTAACCAACACACCTCCTCTTTCGCTGGTACTCTAGCACAGGTTCGTCCCACATGAAAGCATACCCCCCTCTCAACACCCGCGAGTAGCCCTCTTTGACTGAATTCACATACGACCTCGCTCTCTCCATGCCCACGTGGATCTTCTCGTAGTTGGCGTCTATGTAAGCGTGCTCCTTGAAGAACTGCTGTAGACTGAAATATATCTGCTTAAAAATTACCCCCATCAAGATTCAAGAAAGGGGGTAATTGTAAAGTAGATTAAGTAGGTCGATTTTTCGACCAATCAGAATGCAGCAAAATTTGAATTTTAAAGATAACGTTCTAGCGCAAATGCTTTTATTTGTGGGGTGGCAATTCTTTGGTAAATGACATATGGGGATTGTTAACTAGATCCAATATAAAGTTGTCAAGTTTTGATTGGTTCAGTTTCTATAAAAATGAAGCACAGGATGAAAAAGTCACTAATGAGTATCTTTTTAAAAGCAAATACAAACATACGAAAGCTTCAACGGAGCGTTTCAAAACGAAGAAAAAAAATTACCTGAAAAAGTCGCCGTTTTTAAAGTCCAGTGATACAAAAATATTTTTTTATACAGCAACAATGACGAAATTTTGTGTAAAATTTGAAATTTTTTTAGAGATTTGATATATTCTCAATCGGGGAGGGGGGTTTGTTATAAATGCGTGTTTTTCTTGCTTTAATTTTGGCCTTCAATCTCAATTAGACTGCTGTTATGTTGGGTCTATTCGAAGTCCATCGGACTTCGAGGCACTTTTCTGATTGAATAAAAAAGAGTCAGTGTTAGTTCAATTTTTTCTACTTTATTCGTTTTATTCTATTTAGTTACTTTTTAAAAGTACGAGCGGCATTTGAATACTTTTTTTTATGGCGCAGTCATCAGATTCGAGTTTGCAGGAAACTGCCACCTTATGGCCAAAACATACCGTAGAAACCCCCACTCAATAGACAGTCTGGATCAAACAATTCTACCTAGCAATAATTGCGAAAGATAACCTAGATATTGACAGCCTAAAATAACCATTGGTGGCAGAGACAGATACCCCAATTCTCGAAGGTTTCCAATATGCAGAAAAAGAACAAGAGAGGGAAGCTAGGGAGCCAGAAATTAAGATGTTATGTGATTCTACAAAATCGCTGAAGAGAAAAAAATTGCCCTGGGTTCAGAAGGAAATAGAGTATCCTCGCAAAAGCACCCTGTGTTGAAAGTTCTATCAGCCACTTTAAGGAAGTTTTTGAAAACTTTAGAATCCGCTTTTTGGAAACCGTCGAACATCATTTTGGAACAGTATGAACTGTACAAGCAGAAAACTTAAGATTTGACGAAAGCGTGTGAGATAGGAGTACATGCTGAACATGATTGGATACAAGTTGTGTTCAATTTCAGTATGATATTTTTTTTATCGGAAACACTAACTCCAATGGATTCATTGAATCAGGTGATCATTGGCAAAAAAAGGTATTTCATTAAACTCAAACTCACGAATATGACTAGATCCAACAAAAATAAGGAAGTGTATAAAATATTGATTCTGTAAAATGGGAATCAAGATTGAATATAGAAATTGCTAATTCTTGTTAGAAATGTGGTAGCCTTTTTTCAAGGTTCATCTAAACGTTCGTCCGAAGAATTTTTAAGTTATTTTTTGAATATAAGTGTCACTTCGGAAGATCATTCAAATCCAAGGCAAAAACACTGACTGTAGAAACTGTAGAAGAAAGTATTGATAATCAGAATAGTCAATACTCCCATCGGAACCACTGACGATTGTAGAAGAACAATTTTGTAGTGTGAAAAACGCTTGCAATGAAGAGGGATTCAGCAACGGCGACCATTACTTTTTTATTAGATTTTAGAACCATCTGCGACGATAGCGTCCTCGAAAAGCATAAAGCTTGTAAATATGGGACTCGGTGAAAAAGCAATGGTAAATATAAACACCTAGTGGACTCTGCTTGCGCAGTCAATTTTTAAGAACCACTCACGAACTGAAATTAAGGAACCAATTTTGGAACGGTTTACTGGTAGACAAGAAAACTTTTGCACTAGACTGTGTGTTCACCAACGACACACCAACAGAAAAGTCATTGTTAGAGACCCACTGAGGGGCAAAAGAGTGACAACCATGTTTTAGACCTCTAAATCGGAACGTTTTTGCCTCTGAAGGAATTCACCTCTGAAGAGACTGAGGCTTTACAGGATCTGGAGCTTTACTCGAGCTTTACAGGATCAACGACAGCTAAAAGACAAGCCGAGCCGTCATCAGCCAATCAGCGAAAGGCAGACAAAATGCTTACCAAAGGTTATCTCTCTTTTAATTCCGACCCTGCATTAAAATTAGATTCAGACCACTGGTACAACTTATTGGAAATTACTTTGGAAATGACTCGGGCGTGAAGTATGATAGCTATTTAGATACATCAAGGCACACCGTCACTGACGACTATACTACGGATGGGTCTCGGAAGACACCTTCGAAGTCAAAAGCCAGGACCCAAAATCGATAGAGGCCTCTCCGGGAAAACCTAAGGTGCATTACACACCGGTCATCTCATCGGACAGTTTGACACACCCTAGAAGAAACGCTGAATCTCCTATATTTTGTGGATGAAATAGATTTGTGGACGGAGTATCACCAACGTTGATAGTGAACCTAGATGAAGAGCTTGAGCGACCGATAATCACAGTCAGTTGACAAGCCAAGACACCACAGAAAAAAATTCTAGGCTAGTTTTGCATCAATTCAACTTCATAGGTTTTGACCCGCGCGAAATAGTCACTCACAATACAATAGTTGCCGATACAAATCTCAAGTCGTCTCTGGACCCACAGATGATAGTGGCAGGTTCAATCTCAGGCGAGACAGAGGCTCAAGAACAGGATCAATTGAGCGATATGTCTTCAGTTATCGACATCTATTCATGGACCAATGCTGACTTGTTTCACAAAAAAATCAACTCAGCCTAAACAAACTGAACACAAAACTAAAAACTGAATTGTTTTTTTTTACCATTAGTGCCGTAGTCAACTTGTCTTTTATTTGATTTTACACTAGAATATCCGACGGAAATTTTACCAATTTAACCAGTAGTATACCCAACAAATTTTTTTATTGAATCTGCACATTTTAGTTGTCAATTTATATATAACCCCAATAATACATTACTGTCTTGTAACTATTTGTAATGATTTGTACTTAGCCTGGACATTTAGTGAACCTAACATCTTCTCTGAGTTTCTTCTTATGCTTCCCTTGTAATTCAATTCATTATTTTGTCAGTTTGATGCTTTTTGTTTCGAAGTTCTGTTGTCAGTTGGGTTATATGTGGGTGTTATATGGCTACCAATTTGACAGTCTTCAGATATACTTATTTCCTGCGTTGCGGATTGTTGTGAATGTGTGTTTTTACTTCCTTTATTTTGTTTTTCAACCATAATTAGATACCTGTTATGCTGTGCCTAATCGAAATCCATAGGAATTCGCGGGTATTTACTTGTTGAGTAGAACAGAATCAGTTTTAATTCAGTTTAGTCTATTTTAATTTTTTATTCAGCTTTTTCTAACCTGTTTTTTCAACCTTTTTTGGCATGTTTTAGCAGGATTTTTCTGATTTTTTGTGCTTCCTTCCCGCTAAGATTCTGTGAACTTTCGCGCGTTTTAAAAAAAATTGGATTTTGTCAACCAAAAATGAATTTCCTCTGAGTAATTACCAAAGTGGCGAATTGTCAAATGCTTCAGAGGAGGGAAAGTGTTGTTTCACGGAAGTGGGTGGGGAGGGTGAGGGTTGATTATTTTAAGCATCAGTTTGTATTTGATTACGACGATTGAAAAAACTTGCTGTTTTATCACCTGGACTTGTCCACAGTGCCGTATTGTATCTCGTCCTGATTGGCCAGATCGGCCAGTCCTTTGATCTCGTTCTCCATCCGAGTGACAGTGAGAAATGCCGCCAGATTGGCGGTGTAAGTGGCCACTATGATCAGGGCAAAAAAGTACCAGAAGCTGAAAAGCATATTTTATCACATCTAAAACCTCAAAAACCTCCAACGACATTTCAGTCTCACAATCTCCTTCAAATGACCGTATTAGGTCGTGATATAAGTCGCTCCTCTCGACCTGGGTTAGTCCTACCAAATTTGCAGGCTTGTGATTGTCTCGCGCGAATAATTGTTAACTTGGCTATGCTACTATTTTTGAGCTCCTTTTGCGCTCTTTCAGGACCTCAGTTTTGAATGAAAACACAGCGCGCGCCAAAAAACACATTTTTTTGCTTCAAAGACTTCCCAAAATTGCCGTTTTTGCCATGAAAAAAAGGTTGGCAAAATTTTTGATTTTTTTTGAAATCCCCCCCCCCCCCCCCCCTCGAGAAAGTCGTAGATCCACCCCTGCCTCGTCGTATGAGTAAAAAAATGGACTGGCAAAAATAATTGAAAAAAGTCATGTACGTTCTGTCTTAATAAGGGTAAGAAATTGGTATCCATAATAAATTCAGTGACATAACTCGCGGTGACGATTTGGTCCCTTACATCGCGGATTAAAAAACTTTGTCATTAAATTGATCAGCTTCTGAACTTTGATCTAGTTAAAATTGATAGTAAATCAGAATCGAAATTTTCTACGCAGCGTTAAGAGATTTTAATTCAACTTTAATGTTGGAGAGGAAAATTTATAGTGAGTCTATTTACGGGGGAGGTCAACATGATCCTGAAATTTGATGTACCAGGTCAAATAATCTGACTTCCGGAAAAAGTTTTTACGTAAGAACTAATTTTTAACATGTCAGCTCGGCCTGTATTGGAGAAAAAGCCGAATATTCCGACTGTGCCTAAGCTGCATGAAAATTTTTTGGCTTTCCAATCATAAATTCACGTCCATAATGAAGCGCAGAAGAATCAGACTTGTTATTCATGCTATTAAAAAATATATAAAACTTTCCTTCGGATTGAGTTAAGTTTGAGTTAACGTTCCCTAAAATAGATCAACTCTTTCTTGGTTAAACCGATTCTCCAAATAGACGCGACCAATTCTGGATTGACTTAACAGTCTACCCCCACTCCTTCAAGAAAGGGACGACGATTTTTAGGTAGATTAATAAAGACAAACTTTTGACCTATCAGAATGTAACAACATTAGAGTTCTCAATAAAAGCTCAGTGCTAAGGTTTGCATGCAAAAAATAGATGTATCAGTTAATTATTACAATCCCGGGTTAAACTCCATACAAAAAAGCTTATCAAGATTAACGCCATACCAGAATAATGCTTATCATAATACTTCGTACACGGAATGGAATGTAGGATTAAATTGTCCATCAGACAACTTCAATTTATGAAAATTGTATGAGAAACAACTTTAATCTCGCTGCCAAAAAAAGTCTGAAGTAAGAAACCAACTTTCAGAGATTTTTTTTGCAGAAAACGAAACAAAATTGATATAAGATTTTCGTGCGAATCCAAACTTAAAATTTTCAGTGCTTTTATACTGTAGCTTATTTTTCAAATTGTCAAAAAAAAATCAGGCTACAAAAAAAGTGTTTGACAAGAAAATTAGCTAAATATTTGGATTAAGGTTTTATTAATACTTTTGAGTAAACTTTCAAACACTATCTCATCAAATAACTACTCAAATGCAAGTATTTGTGAGATTTCTTCCACTCAACCAATGGGGATTCTTAATGGGAAACAATTGTGTACCTCTATCAATTATACCTTATTAATATCCTGTTGGCAATATGGGTTGTGTGGTGGTCGTTGCCCTGTTGCATGAAGGAGGAGAGGACGAACCAGATGGTGTTGTGGAACATGCCACACTCCCTCTCCCTCAGTCTCTGATACCCTAAAAAAAATATGCTGATGCTCATTTTAGCAGAGGACTGTAAGTTTAGCATACCGATAAAACAGCATTTTACGAATTTTTTGAAAACATGTTCAATAAATTACTTATTAGCCAATCAGACTTCATGATGCCAATACTTTCCACAATATTCCGGCTATCGATCTTTGTTTTTTACATTCACAATTTGGTTCTAAATGCCCGTACCCAGGGGATTTTCTGTGCAAGCTCTGAAATTTTTAATTTCTTTTATAAGTTGATTCTCAGATCTGAAACTCTTCATTTCAGATCTTGATAAGAATTTGCAAATTTCAGATCTGAAATTTGGATCTGAAATAGAAAATTTTAGATCTGAAATAACCTTGAAAACAAAATTTCAGATCTGAAATCAGAACTGAAAAATCCTTTGTTAAAATATAATTTATGCATTTCGGATTAAAAATGAGTTTTTGATAATCATGCGCTACTTATGCGTTTCCAATGTTTATCTCATGATTGGGGAAAAATATTTTGGCAGTCTTCAACTTAAGATTTTGCTGAGTACCTGCTTACCTGCTAGTAGCTACCAGAAGCTATCAAATACAAAAAAATGTGTCAGAATCATTGATTTTTCAGCTCTGAAATAACCAAGAAAAACTAAATTTCAGATTTACTGCAAAATTTTCTGCAGAATAACCAATCCATAAACTATCCAAGCGTTATTTAAACATTTCACAACCTATTTCAGTATTTCAGACCTGGAATTTAAATCTGAAAAAGATTATTTCAGATCTGTTTTAGAAAATTTACTGAGTACGGGTGAACACAACAATCGATTTGATTTAGCTCTTTTTCAGTTTTTTAAATAGTGAAATTGAACAAACAGTCATGAATCTGCCACTGAATGACCAAAACGAAACGTTCATCCATTTCTTTCACAAGCACGACATGTATTGTTCTTCCAGAATCGCAAATTTAGTTACAAAAAGGACACGATTAAAATTAAGTTCTCAATTGATGTAAATTGTGTTTTCCTATTTTGAGACATTAAGGTATAAGTAGTCGATCAAAAATTGAAGATAGCCGCCTATCACAAAAAAATTTTAAAAAATGAAGCTTTCTGGGGCAACCGCCTAGCGGGCTGTGTGTATGTATGCGTGGCTAAGATTGCTTCCTTCTTCCACGAACGCTACTCGGTTGTCTTCGCGTGTAAAACTGTTTTTGCCCAGAAAATTTTATCTTTAAAGATCTTGCAAAAAAATGTTGTCTTTAAAGGAGGTTATCTTGCAAGATCTTGCAAGAATCTTGCAAGATCTTTTAAAGAGATGCATCCTCTTTGAAAGAAGATAACCTCCCTTGATCGACGAGGGTAACGCATTAATAAAGCTAGCGAAAGCTTTTGCTGTTTTTATCTAAATGCTATTTTAAACAACCCCTTTTAACAGTCTGTTTATGACACGTTTTTGGTCTATTTATTTCATCCGCCCAAAATCGCAAAATTGGTCAAAAGAACATCACTGCTATTTTGAACGCGTTATTTGAGCATTATTTTTGATTTCAACCATTCAAGTTTGAACGCTTTTGCTTTCTGTTCTACCCGCACCGGAGTTTCATGGATAAAAATCTACTTAAAGGAAAATTTTTGTCTTAAATATTGTCATTATAGTTTAATATTGTTGCAAAATTAGACCGTGAAATCAATTATATTGTCAATATAACAGATTATTTCTGAAAAATCTAATTATTTGCAGAATTTTCAACAATTTTCAACTTCAAAAAAGCGACCTATCCCCTATTTTTTGAAGTTTTTTCTCTCACCCCAACCCACCCCGACAATTATTATTCACCCCAACCTTCCTCCGCGTTTGCACACTTCCTCGTTACCTCTCGTAAATATGGAAAAGGCATGGATCTAAAAGAGGAGGTGAAAGCAGGGGTTGTAAAGGGGGGGGGGGGGGGGAGGGGGGTTGGTTAAAACGGGGAACGTAAGCAAGGAAAAGTCAGCGGCGGATGGGTATAAGCATGGGGGGGTTATGTGCTGTAGTAGCGGCAACGGACATAAATTGGAGGGAAGTAAATAAAGACCAGCAAAAAAAATCGAGAAACTAAAAAAAAAATCAGACAATCATTTCATTTGATCTAACATGCTATAAGCCAAAAACAGCTCTGAACATTTAGTCAAATGAAACAATAAGTTTTAAACATATTGCATTTTGTTTGAAATTTAAAAAAAAAGTTTCCAAAATTCTTGATTATTGTCAATTATATTTGATTAAAACTGATTGAAATGGTTTTTATTGATTTACGTTTAAAAAAAGATAATCCATTTTCAATCTAGTTTAATTGATATTTTTTTGAATATCATCGATGAAAATTGAACAAAATCGATGATTTTCCATGATACTCCAGTGCGATTTTTTTTTTGGTTTTTGCAAATAGGGCGGATTAAGAAAAAAAACTTATTTTTTTTGCAATCGATCTGATTACACTTTTGCGTTATACCCATCCATCTGAATGTCAGAATTTTATTTCAAATGTTTGTTTGTTTATTATTTTGTTTCGTTTGATGGAAAAACATTAGAGTAAGTGAAATTGAAAAGCATTTATAATTGTTTAATTAAAAATGAAAATTAAAAATTTTGGTTTTGTTATAAGCCTGTTGAAGAAATCTGTTGAAATTAATGATAAAAAATTAAAAAAGCTAGTTCTACCTGACAAGGAGGAATTAGGAGCCAGACGTGCCAGCACGAACAGTGCCAGGGCTGTGAAGAAACCTGAAGGCAAAAAGAGACAACAATTTTCAACAAATTAAAAGTATTTCGTATTTTGAATAGCATTTATCATAAACCGTTTATTACAAATAGTTTTAGTGAGCTCACACTGTAAGTTCACTGCGTCAAGGACACCTACAGGTAGGTTCTGCTTGTGTAGAAGCTATCCATACCCGCAGGGGCGGAGATTTAGGGGGGCGGGGGTGGGGGGCGGACGACTCCCCCTTCTCAGGGATTCGACCCCCTGCCGACCCAAAGAGTCCCCCCTTTGATACTTTTTCAGAAATCCATTTTTGGCCGACCCACCCTAAATTTTTTCTAAAGGGGCATTCGGCGCCAATATATACTAACTTTGAGGGGGAGCGCGCGCCAAAAAAAACGCATTTTTTTGTCAAAATTTTTCAAAAAGTCCCCAAAAACGGCGCAGAAAACTTTGCCAAAATAGGGGCAAAACAGTGCTTCGGGAGAGCTCGAAAAATCAATTTGGTCGACCTAAAAAAAAGGTCGTCAAAATTTTCGATTTTTTTTTGAAAATCCGCCCCCCTCGAGAAAATCCTAGATCCGCCTCTGCATACCCGTTTCTTTTACAATGAAAAAAGGATTTCTAAAAAACTTCTGTAAACCATAGCTCAGAGTTTTCTCGTAAAACGCAAAGTTCACTTATAAAGTTTCAGAAATGAGCTTTTGGAAGTAGCTTGTTTCTTTGGACAGCTTTATAGCCCTTAGTCATTTTAATCCGAAACGGCATCAATAGTTTTGGGAACAATTTAGAAAAATAGTATTTGATCAAAAAATGAATTTTAGGAAAATATTTTCATTCTTTCATTCTGCTTCTGTTTTGTGTAGCGTCAACGATTTATCAATAATAAATTCATCAAGCTATACGGAATTTTTTTCGTAGTTATTCAAACAATTCATAAAAATTTCAGAAACAAAAACCTACAAACTGTTTCACATGTGTATTCACAAGAACGGTATTTAAGTAATCAAATAATTTTTCAGAAAAAAGTTCGTAAAACCCTTTTTTCTGGACGATTTCATTCTTTTTAAAATTTTCAATCTTTTGCACAACAAACGTGATTTACACTATAAGAACCAACTCTTAGAAACACTAAAAACGGCCATGCTATGTTTTCGCTCCCTAGCTTTTCAAACTGTTCTATGAGCACAAAAAAAAACTTTTCCAAGTTCAATTGCTCGGGCAGTAAAAAAATAGTGATAACTTGAAAATTAAAACTGCTAGTAAGTGTGCATTTATTAGGACTTCCGGTCGGATTTCTTTAAGAAGTTTGTTAAAAAGATTAAAAAGGAATTTTATGTTTTGAGGTGGAATTCAAGTTTTTGTATAATATAATATGATTAAACAATTTGTAGAATTGGTGATTCTACTGTATTACATGCTATAGTAACCTGAGCGTAGGATTGGTACTTCATGATGAAAATGGTTGAAATATTCGAAATTTGATTTCAACGTAGACCGACTGTATGACCTTGTAGCAATGGAATTAAGTGATAGATAAGCTTAGTTTGAAAGCAAACAATCGTAATCGGACTTTGCACTTTGAATTTGACCTCTAGGGCGAAGAATTTGAAAAGCGCTAAAAATCGGGAACAGCCCCCCCCCCCCCCAGATGGGGAACCACAGTTCCGATCCTTATGAAAGTTGGTGGGTGACTAATAGAGTTGATTTTAGCCGGGCATGCAAATTTCCAGACGCCTGGGACCCCTGAGGGGCGAGTGATAATGATTTCCGAAAATGCAATTAGCTCTTTTTGTAAACCGGTAACTAATGGTCAGAATGACTTCATATTGCAAAATGTTGTAGCCCTAGGCGAGGGAAGTTCACCACCGGGATTTTGAACGCATCCGGTTATTAATTCCGGTCTTACGCCCCATGTAAACAAAACCTACTTTTTGTTACTTCTCAACCCCTGATAATGCTAGGAGACTGAAACTTGGGGGATGGTAGGTTGGGGGAAGACCTATAATGTATTAATGTTTGCACCCAATCCGGCGTTAACGTCGGAAGCTATTGGCACTTGAAAATTGAATTAGGCTATTAACACCTGATAGTGATAATTGACTTGTGGTTTTAATGCACCAATGTGAAAGGGGGCCAAACCCAGTAAGGGGACCCCTAGTGACCCAATCCTCTCCGGAACTTCCTATGGGGTGAAAATGGCAATTTTAGGGAAAAGTGTTAATTGACCCAATATTTTCGAAAATATGGGAAGGGATGGTCCGATATGAATGAAGAGGTCATTTGGCACTTTTGACCCGAAGACCCCGGAACACCCTGAAAAGCAATAAATTAGCATTGTAAGGCCCCGTAAGGGGTACCTACCCACCTGGGGAGGTAAGGGGAGGACCCTAAACCGAGACTTTTTAGTTTTGACCTTTGTACCCGAGCGAAAGTGATTTTCTGTAATTAGCAAACATTGGGGTCAGCTAAACTCACTCCACTTGGACTTTTGCTAAGAACGACAGACAAGTAAAAATACAGCCCCGGACAAAAATTGGAAACATCTATGGGGTGAAATGAAAATTTCGGGATGAAGATTTTATGAACAGCCCTAGCATATTAAATAAATTCTTGTGGTGTCTTTTTCGGATCAAAACGGACAGGGGAAAGGGAATTACCCAGCAATTGGACTTAGGGGAATAAAATTAAAAATGACCTAAAAAGGACATTTTTCAAATATCTCGGAAGTTAAATTCCCGGTTGTGTGGGAACTACCCAATTCATAGGAAAGGAAAAAAGTTAGGAAGAACTAAAATAAAGTCATGCAAGAGGTCATTTGTCAAATACGATTGGGAGCTGATTTTGTAGCTGAACCCATTGTTTGCTCAGTATGTCCTGATCAACTAAGTGCCACCCCGATGTTTAATTAAAGCTGACCTAATGGTTGATTCAGCTGATAAGTCCTGAGTGGCAGCTAGTTAAGCGAATGTTAGTAGGGATAGGGAACGGTACGCCTCTGACCGAACCGAAAGTACATAAAGATAACGATACGCGATTAAGGTACAACCACCGAACTGAAGAGAACACGAGGAATTACTAGAGAGAGCAGTTGGTTCTCGTTAGTTAGAGAACAATTGTGCTGTGAGAGCGAGCGGTTGGTTCTCAGTTAGCTAGAGAACAAGATTGAGACTTGATAGAATTCAGACGGGTCCTGAGAGTGACTCGTGAAATTTTTAAAGTGAGTTCTCGACGCGAGATTTTTAGTGACGTTTTGTGAAGCAAGTTGAAGAGTTGTTTAGAATTGTTTGTAAAGTGAACTGCAAGAGGCAGTTTCCTGGAACTTATCGCAGAATAGATTCAGTGATACTTAATAAATTGTATTCAGGCCACTTAGCGGCCCTTATTCTCAGCAATTTACAATATTTTTTTCTGAATTCAATTAGTGTCCAGTTTCTTGCGATTCTTTCCGAGGAAAAGAACAGTCGAGAGCAATTGAGTAAAGGGGACGAAACCCAGTGTAGTACATCGATCGACCACCAAATTCAACCTTTCAACCGAAGGGATTGTCATCAAAGACCGGATCACAGCTCACCCCTTGCTGGTTCTGGTATTTAGGGAATGGAGTCAGCGGACAATATAGAAGGGATATATTGGGTCTAAAAAGTCAAATTACCCCAAGACGACATTGGCGCTCCTGGATGGGCTCTCTTTGGACTACAGTTGCGTGAAACGATACGTTTGATCAACGATCGATAAAACAATTGTGATGGCGATGAACGATCAAGACAGACAGCTGATTGCAGAGGCTGCAGTGGCAGCGGCCAATGCTCTCGATCGACAACAGGTAGTGTTTGGATTTGGTACGATACGACCAGATCGGTTCCCCTCGAGCAGTTATCGGAACTGGCAAGACTGGAGGAACCACTTTGCCTGGATAGCAGACGCCAATCGATGGGACGATGAGCAGGCCAGGATGGTGTTGCCGGCATGTCTGACAGGCTGGGCATTGGATGAGTTCACGAGTATGCCAGCTCACTTTAGAGAGGAAATTGACGGGTTCGAGGAACCGACGCTAGGCAGAATGCTCGCGGAATTCGATCAGAGAATGATGCCATTTCAGACACAATCAGCTGCGAGGACCGAATTCAAGAACCTCATGCAGGAGTAAGGCGAGGGCTTGAGGGATTTGCAAGACGAGTGCGATCCTAGGGTGAAGTTGCAAAAACCTGGGAGCTCAAGCCCGAGATGACATGAACCGCGAACAGTTCACTGATGGATTATGTGATTTCGAGCTTCAGGAATTGCTTCTGCGAGAAGACCTCGAGAATTTCAGCCAGGCAAAACAGTCAGGATGAAGAGTCGGAGACGGCCAAATCACGTTCGGTCGGTGCACGATGTTCAAGACCTGACGACTGAGGCTGGCGGAGACAGTACGCTGACTGTCGAGACTTAACAGATACGGACAGAGCTCACGAGATTGCAGACGCACACTGACCAGAGGCTAGACCAAATGATGAAGGCTCAGAACAACCTGGCGAAGCAGATTGATGTCCAGAGTTCGAGGTATGATGAGGTGAGATTGCAGATGCAGATGCAGGAATCACGCCAGAACGATCTGGCGGCTCAAACGATGGCCCAAATGCAGAACTTAACGACAATGATGGGTAGGTTCGTTGATCCTTGTAACCCCAAGCCAGAGAGTCACACCCGACGGGGAGAGAATCAGCAACGCGACTTTGCGAACCCAATTGGGCGACAGAGTGGAAACAACCCATGGACCCAGGGTGGTTGTTTTAATTGTGGAGAGGTTGGCCACATTGCAAAAGGATGTCCCTAAAGAAGCGCGAACCATTTAAACTACCAAGGGCCGGTGCAGTAGGCAGCTCGAAGGAGGATTTGTCGGCGAACGCAAGCTACAGGAACTCAGTCTTGCCTTTAATTTCTTAATTTTCTGAATTTTCGTCTGTAACTATTTTAAAGTAGCACTGTCAATTTTAGAATATATAGAACTATTATGTAATTTGTTATGTAATGGTTGACCTGCGAGACATATGCACATCCAGACTCTGGGAGCGAGGGGTTCCAGGAAGCCGAAGATGTTGTGGCCATGCTCAGGTCTCCTCACCAGAATAGACACTCCATAGTCCATATGGCTAGCCACGAAGTCCACTACCTGACAGGCGAAGACTTTATAAATAGGAGGCGGAGGGGGGGGGGGGGGGGTTTGGCAGTTCAAATCCACTTAAGTTTGAATATTATGTGCTTAGATTGAAACATTTTTAAATTGTATCATGACTTTTGCTCTTGAAATAAAGAGTTGCTTTCAGATATAGAATTGGAACAGGTAAAATTATATATAACGCTTGAATATAAATTTTTAACAAATCTTTTTTCAACGATCTTGAGTTTTCAATCAATCGTGAGGTAGATTTTTAGTCTAAAGGCCAGCGTTTATATGCAGAAGATCTCTGAATGAAATCAATTGCCTTATTTAGACTAATTCTGTTTGTGTTTGTTTCGATTTTCTACTACTTTTTTTAACAGTGAACAACTTCTCTACCTTTTCCCTGTCGTAGTTTCTGATCATGCCGGCCACTGCAATGTCAGCCCTGCCCAGCAACAAGTCCCCAATCAGCCCCGTCCATCTCTGCTTTTCCTGAAACCCAAAGAAAATTGGCAGAGTTCATGGCTCAGCCCTTGGGTTGAGGTCCCCCGACTAGTGGTCAGTTGACATAAATGTCGCGCAGAATTCAATCTCTGGCCCATATTGCGTAATCGCCACAAAGTCGCAAACATGGTTGCAAAAGTCTGGACATACCAAAATTAGTCCCAGAAGTCTGAAAAACTTTTAAAATCTCGAAAAGTCGGGTGTTTTGGTTGTATTTGGAATCCAAAATCAGTTGAATGTGGTACAAATAAACAAATGCATATTAAACATCGAAATCATTTTTGCTACAATTTTTTAAAGACAACAGAGAGCTTAAAGCTTGTTTACAAAACCGCGCTGGGCGTCGTATGCTAATAACTGTATATTATTATCTGGCACATGGAGTTATTGTTCCGAGTTTTGTAACGAAAGTAACGGAATATTTGTGCTCGGGGTGGTTTTTTCTTTAGACAAATTTCGACTTTTTAACTAACCATTTTTGATGAAATTTTTTTCAATCATTCGAAAGGTATTGTTGTCCTGAGCTTAAATTAGAAAAGATATTTCGTTTTTCGTTAAGCCATGCGTTTAAAAATAGCCATTTTGGCCAATTAGGGACATTTAACGCGCGATATAATTCGCGCTATCAACGAGTAGGCAGAGATTTAATCCATCTAAGTAATTGTTTCAAAATGCTTGAAAGCAGTTTAATTGCCATAATTGATTGGTTTTTGGGAGCAAAATCTTTTACTTTGTACTTTATATGACGTGTAGAGGGAATCTTTTCACAAAAACTTCAAATTTCATTTTATTTTATTACATTTACTTTTATTACTGCTCCAGAGACCTTAAATGGCAGTCGGAACATTCAGAGCTTCGCCCTGAGACGAGAAGCCTTGTAATAAATAAGTGTAATTTTAACTCCAGAACCATATTTCCAGTCGAAACAAAAGTTCGAGTAAATTTTGAAGTTTTTTGTCATTTTGTGGATCAGTGAACTTCCCAAGTCGAAATCTGGGGGCTAGCTTATTTAATAAACAACCCCTAAAATTGACTCGATTAAACAATTCCGATGCGCTTAAAATTCTGGTGCCTGTCTGTGAGTATAATCCATACCGTCTGTCTCTTACAGTGTAGACAGAGTAATTGAAATGTTGTTATAGACTACAAGTGGTGCCTGCCTGTGATTATACTCCGTACTGTCTGTCACTGACAGTGTAGACAGAAAAAGTTAAGTGTTGTTATAGACTACAAGTGGTGACTGCCTGTGAGTATACTGCGTACTGTCTGTCTCTGACAGTGTAGACAGAGTAGGTGAAGTGTTGTAATAGACTAAATGTGGTGCCTGCCTGTGAGTATATTCCATACTGTCTGTCTCTGACAGTGTAGACAGAGTAATTTAAGTGTTGTTATAGATTAAAAGTGGTGCCTGCCTGTGATTATACTCCGTACTGTCTGTCTCTCACAGTGTAGACAGTTTGGGTGAAGTGTTATTTTAGACTACAAGTGGTGCCTGCCTGTGAGTATACTCCATACAGGCTGTCCCTTAAAGTGTAGACAGAGTAAATGAAGTGTTGTTATAGACTACAAGTGGTGCCTGCCTGTGATTATACCCCGTACTGTCCGTCTCTGACAGTTTAGACAGAGTGGGTGAAGTGTTGTTATAGACTACAAGTGGTGCCTGCCTGTGAGTATACTCTAACTGTCTGTCTCTTAAAGTGTAGACAGAGTAAGTGAAGTGTTGTTATAGACTAAAAGTGGTGCCTGCCTGTGAGTATACTCCCTTTTGTCTGTCTCTAACAGTGTAGACAGAGTAAAAAATAAGTGAAGTGTGGCTATAGACTACAAGTGGTGCCTGCCTGTGAATATACTCCATACCGTCTGTCTCTTAGAGTGTAGATAGAGTAAGTGAAGTGTTGTAATAGACTACAAGTGGTGCCTGCCTGTGATTATACCCCATACTGTCTGTCTCTGACAGTGTAGACAGAGTGGGTGAAGTGTTGTAATAGACTACAGGTGGTGCCTGCCTGTGACTATACTCCATAATGTCTGTCTCTGACATTGTGAACAGGGTAATTGAAGTGTTGTTATAGACTACAAGTGGTCCCTGCCTGTGACTATACTCCATACTGTCTGTCTCTGACAGTATGGACAGGGTAACTGAATAGTGGTTATAGACAACAAGTGGTGCCTGCCTGTGACTATACTCCATACTGTCTGTCTCTGACAGTGTGGACAGGGTAATTGAAGTGTTGTTATAGACGACAAGTGGAGCCTGCCTGTGATTATACCCCGTACTGTCTGTCTCTGACAGTGTAGACAGAGTGGGTGAAGTGTTGTTATAGACTACAAGTGGTGCCTGCCTGTGAGTATACTCCATACTGTTTGTCTCTTAAAGTGTAGACAGAGTAAGTGAAGTGTTGTTATAGACTACAAGTGGTGCCTGCCTGTGACTATACTCCATTTTGTCTGTCTCTGACAGTGTAGACAGAGCAAGTGAAGTGTTGTTATAGACTACAAGTGGTGCCTGCCTGTGAGTGTATTCCCTTTTGTCTGTCTCTAACAGTGTAGACAGAGTAAGTGATAAGTGAAGTGTGGTTATAGACTACAAGTGGTGCCTGCCTGTGAATATACTCCATACCGTCTGTCTCTTAGAGTGTAAACAGATTAAGTGAAGTGTTGTTATAGACTACAAGTGGTGCATGCCTGTGATTATACCCCATACTGTCTGTCTCTGACAGTGTAGACAGAGTGGGTGAAGTGTTGTTATAGACTACAAGTGGTGCCTGCCTGTGAGTATGCTCCATACCGTCTGTCTCTTAAAGTGTAGACAGAGTAAGTGAAGTGTTGTTATAGACTACAAATGGTGCCTGTCTGTGAATATACTCCATACTGGCTGTCTCTGACAGTGTGGACAGAGTAATTGAAGTGTTGTTATAGACTACAAGTGGTGCCTGCCTGTGACTATACTCCATACTGTCTGTCTCTGACAGTGTAGACAGAGTAATTGAAGTGTTGTTATAGACTGCAAGTGGATCC